GGAATATGCTCTTGCTCCCAAATAGAGGAATTTCTGGAACACTTGGAATTGTTCAGTGCTAGAACAGCTCTTATGAGAGCTTGACATAACTCAACACCAAGCCTTGTTTGATTATCTGGAAACTCTCATCTTCACCGAGGCCTGACAAAACTCAACACTCTTACAGAATTTTGTATGGCTTGACCCCTGGACTGGATTGTGGGTACAGATTTTATCATTACTCCCTCTAGTAAACCTGTGATTAGAAAACTGCTGTTTTCCTATTCTCCTTTCAACCTCCCCATCACCTCATTCAACTTTAGCCAACAGTAGCCAGAATGGGACTGTTCCTTTTTGTCCTACTGCAGAGCTAGAAACATTGAGGAACAAAACAAAACACTGCCCAGTTATAATTTTTAAAAATGGCAGAGCACTTGCAATAGCCTGAACACTCAAAACACTGTTGTTTGTTTTATTCTGAGGCCAAGACAAAATCAGCTTTGTTTTGAACTCAGAAAAACAAAACAAAACTATGGAACAAGTGGGGGTTTCTCTTGAATTTAAGACACCTGAAGCAGCTGTTTTGCACACCTCTTTCTATTACCTATAATTTTACAACCCATGACAGGATGTAAGGAAGAAACAATAGCATTAAAAGATCATTGAAAACTTCAGCAGGTCAACTGCATGGCTCTAGATTCTAAAGCACTTTGTTTTCTTTTAAGTAGTACCTCCTGGAGAAGGTGGAATGGACTAAAGAGTGAAAGCAATTCCTGGAGGAAACAGCTGTAATTTAAGCTGCTGCACCAAACCCTCTAGTCCTGATAGTTCATGACTGCACACTTGCTGACTGAGGTGTTAGTAGACAGAAAATAAAGATATTTCCATTGAGCACAGACCTTATGGGGCATAAAATACAGGTTTGTGCTTCTATGTTGTCCTTATTTAAACATTCATTTAGAAAAGCAATCTATAAACAGACTCCTGTGACCTGCCTGTGATCTTGCCCTTTGATCCAACTGGATGGTCTGTGACATTCTGGTTAGCCAAAAAACAACAGATAGTTCTGGGCTGGTTTGATGATGATGAATCCCTGCCCAAGCAATTATGGATCTCACAGCTTATTCTCCCTGAATTCAATTTGAGTGTGTAGCTTGTCTTGTATAATAACCACATTTTATGAGTGGAAATTGTTCAGTGACTGTTCAGTGCCGAAGGTAGCTTGGATATTATACTGCAGCAGCTGAGAATTAAAAAGAAAATAACTGCAGTTCACATTTTTTATTGTCATTGGCCTTTCCCCAGTGAAACCACACGCGGTCTCTAAATGTCATTTGATGTTTGAAAAGCAAAGGGAGTTAAGATAACAAATGACTCCTTCCCTTCCCTTGTAGGAAGGTTAGGAAATGGCTTAATGAAACATAAGCAGGCCTGTCGCATCAGAAGTGCATGCTGTGTCTTTAAAAGAGTGCTGAAGCCAAACCATCAGCTCAACCTACCTCACAGAACTGTTGTTAGCAAGCTAAAATTACTAGAGACTCTCAGCTGTGCTGCCTTGAACTGCCAGAGAAAAGGTAGACTATCAGCATAATCATAAATAATATGAAACCTTTCATATTTTAACTAACACAGTCACAGTAAGCTAAGTTAGATGTATCAAAACCCAAAAAGTTTCTATCCTGCCTTTAATTTCTTTTGCTCACTACTTCTTACTAGTTTTCTCCACTTTGCATAACAATGCTTTCTGTGAAAGGGAATAAAGTGATGAGTATGCATTTATGGGTTTTGATACATCTTCCTTATCCAGTACTCTGAACAGCATAATCCAGGTAATATAACTTGAAGTTGGTAAATGTAAAGTGTAAACCTTGCATTGCTTAAGCCAGTATACTTGGGCTTAAATTGGGCTTGCCTGGTTAGTGTTCTGTCTTGGACTGCTAGTTCATCCAGCTGCAGAAGACAGGAAGAGAAGCAAAGCAATTCTAGCACCTCTGCTGGGAGTTGAGCTTCTGGAGAAGGTGAGAGTCCTGGAGCTCATCTTGTCATTCTATCATGCTACCTGTACTACTTTTTTTTCCTCTTCCTTCCCTTGTATTGTGTGTCACATAGTTCAGATTGTAAATGTGATGGCAAAGACTTACAGATATTCACTGGCTGCTCCAGGATCCTTTTTGGCTAATTTTGCTAGCAACCAAGTCCATAAACTAATTAATTCTGAGATATGGGCCTGTTGAAATTTGCTGGTCAAATATTCTTACGATTTAACTGGTTTATGTAGCAGATAATCATGTGTGCTTGACTTCACAAATCCTACTATGCCACCTTCTGTCAAAACTATGGCTTGTTGCCTAAGCCAAGTGAACATTCCCTCAAATACCAAATGTGATGTCTGAACTTGCATATTGTGTCCAGGTCACCAACCAATTACACAATGGCTTAGCCCAAAAGATAAACAAGGCCACTGATTTCAATAACTCTAAGCATGATGAAGTTTGGATCCAATCCTATGATATTGGTTTGTATATCTCGCTCCATTGCCTACTTAAAGCAAGAGAGATTGATTTTGTGGTTGTAGTGACTGGCCAGTGGAGCAGTGATTAAATAGTAAGGATATTATTTTTTTCCAGCTAAAAAAGAATGGAATCTTCTGGTAATTTAAAAGCTTACATATTTATTCTGGCAGATATGCTCAGATATCATTCTCCTTTAAATGCTTACCTATCTTAGCTATCACTATAGCTATTTAAATGTTGTAACTGCAAATATTATAGGTTGAATATAGGAGTAGGATTTGCCAAGTACTCCACCTCAATGCCATATATGTGGAGTGGGCTTTTCTTCTGCCACCCAGTGCAAAGATCTCCAAGAAGATCTCATGTATACAGATAATATGGAAATCCCCATTCACACAACCTGATTTCCTTATCCAAACATTCAGGCCAGGGGTAAACCCAGTGCCACAGGAAAGCTGAAGGAAGGTAGTATTGGGAGAATGGTCTAAACAAGAATGAGATAATTTTGCTATTACCAGTCTACATTTCACCCTCAATCCCAGGCTGATATATATATAGAACTTTTTTATTGTGGGAGGAGAATTCGATCTCCTATATATCTGATAGGAACCGTTTACACTGGGAGTTCAGGAGACATGCAAATACAACAACTGGATAAAAGTCTAAGGAGGGAGAAGAATGTAAAAAGAGGACTATGCCAATATGTAAGTAAACTATGTAGCACATTCAATCTCTCTTTTAAAACTTCATGCTGAATAAGCATCAAGTAAAAAAGCTGTCCATATGTGCTTTTCTCATGGTGCCACAGCAAATGCCAGAGTTTTCTTCCACCATATTTCATAATGTTTTTTGTTTCAAGACGGGTGTGATTGTTTTGTCAATGGGTGTCAAGGTCTAGCTTTTGTCTCCCATTCATTCTACCATCTCCCTTCAAAAATCAATTAAAAAAGAAAGAAAATAGTTGAGCACTTTTGGAGTGCTAGTAGGAAAGTAGCGTACAAAAACACAATACAATTTTCCTAGGAAAAGAGCAAATGAATGCTGCCCTGAAGCGTTTATACTCATGAGACTATTTGAAACCACTGGACATGTTTTGCTCCAATGGGGGAAAATGTTTGGATTGTTTTGAATAGGGAGCTGCTGTTGTTTTCTGGCTGACAAAGCATCGATAGTGTGATGGATGTGGAGGAACACATCTGGATTTGCATCAAGGAGAATGCAGCAAATATTTAGACTGCAATCTGATATGACGGTTTTCTGTTATCTGGACACTTGTATAAATGATTATGGTGATTAGCCAGCTGAGTCAGACCGAGGCAGAAGAAAGGCAGAAGATAAATAACAGAGTACAAAATATGTTCGAACTCTCCTTCAAACATGAATTGTTAGATGGATCCCAGCAGCCGACCAACCCTGCAAAATACTTTCATCATATTATTCCCTGCTGGAATATTTCAGTATTACAGCTGCCTTCTCCCTCACCCTTCATTGTTTAGCCTTGAAAAGAGACCATTTAAAGGTGAAAAGAAACAGGATGGCAAACTTCCAATTTGAGCAAATCTGTCTTCTCTTATACCAGAAGGTAGGGCCCAAACCAAGGGGTTCAATTTCCTGAAAAAAGGGGTTTCATGAAAGACTAGTCAGCACTTCCTGCAGAAAGAGCCCATTTCATACTGGAAAACAAGAGCTGCTTCAGATTTCTGGTCCGGCTGGCCCACTACTGTCCATCCACTGATTGATAGTGATTCTCCAAGGTTTCAGGAGAAGGTTTTACGAGTCCTTGGGGATGGAGCATGAGACCCATCCCCACGCAAACTGTGGGCTTAGGGGGTCAGTTATGGACTTTCCTTGTTAATACCAGTTTTAACAAATACCAAAGTGGAGTCAGGGCAGCTATGAATCAACACTAGGTAACAAAGGATTTCTTGTATCAGCAGGAGATTGGATTAGATGCCCTCTAAGATACTATAACTCTAGAGATCTACAAATTCTATAATTTCTCCTCTAACTGGAAAAGGTTTAAAAGACTCAGCAAGGGGGTACTTCAATCAGCCTTTAGTTACAGCAGATGCAGGTAAAATGGGTGTTAGCATCAGAGCACTAACGGAAAAAGTTTAGAGCTTCAGCAAATATATTCTTCTTCTTGTTATTACAACTACTTGCTACTGCTATCATGCCTCAAATCTCCAGAGGAGATATATCTCACAATCTGTGATAAAAATGAGAGACTGGCAAGGGATTCCACCTCCTCCATAAAGCAAGACAGGGGAGATAAAACTGCTTAGCAATACTGGAAAGGAATAGAAGAAACTCTAAGACATACAACACCTTTGAATGGTCAGTTCCCAAAATATAAATAAAGAAATGAACATGTGATGTAGATCAGAAGATGAACAAATGCTGTGCTTCCTTGAAATTGATTCATGCTGCGGTTAACACTTTTTAAGAGGTTCTCAGAAACAGAAAAAGAAAACTTACCATGTAAACAACAAATTAAGAATTTCAAGATCCCTGTTCCTTAGTTCCTGCATCCATACTTCAGAAGTCCCTCTGCAGCTGTTGTATCTGAAAGAAGCACAGATGTAAAGGATAAATAGGGAAAAATAGTTAAAGGAGATACCGGGAAGCTATCACGGTCCTACAGTGAAGGACTTTAATGCAAGTTTCAATCATCTGTTAGTGCTCTGCCTCAGGGGTGGGGGAGAGGGTCACACTGAAGTTTATGGCGGCAAGGACAGCCAATCCTTGGGGCAGTTTGAAGGAAAACAGGAGGAGGATATTTTAGCAGGATGCAGGAGTTTAAATTAGTTTTAATGTGTTTTTTGGGGTGGTTTCTTTTTGTACACTGTGTTTTTTAAATGATTTTTAAGACTTCAGAATGCACAGAAATAGGCAGGGGAGCAAAATTCTCTCCTGCATTAACAGATGAAACTAATCAAAGCTCATTTAGCACTGGAACATCTGGAAGACAGACAAGTAATTCTGGATGCTGTAAGAATATGTTTGCTGTTCATCCTTAGGATGCTGTTTTGAAGGGAGGAAACCTTGAAAAAAGCTGGGCCCAACAGCACAAGGAAATATGAATGCAACCCCTTTAATGCGGCAAACATTTAAGACTTGTAGGCACTCTTCAATCACTAAAACGGCTTCACCCACGTGTGCAGGTTGTAAATAGGGGAGTGAAGAGACAAGCAGCCCATTTTGGCTCAGCCACAATAGAAATACATAGAACATATTAGCAAATACATAATGCCCTCTGCAGTAGATTGGAGTTTTCTTTCGCGCAACTACATTTGGTCTCTCTCTTTCCTTGTTTGTACTATACGTGCTTCCAAAGCTGACTCTAGTTGGCACAAAGTTCCATCCACCAGCTTTTTAGTGTGCACACTCTACTGAGAGCAAAGCCATCCTGATAATATCTGCTGTGTTCTCATTTCTATTTCTTCAATGTTTATATATTTCCTGGATGGGGATGGGGGGGGGTTGTTTGCTTTTTTAGCATGGATTGGTTTAAATAGGCAGAAATACCTGTCTAAATAAAAACAGAACTTTTACAAGTCACAGAACTGCTTTCAGCAGAGAGTACAGCAGCCACATTGTTTTTCCTACGCTAGAGAAATATTAAAAATAACAATCATTTTTATGGTATGCCACCATTTCCAGCGCTTTAGACAAATTGTCCAACTCCAGAGGTTACTGATCACAGCTTTCTGCCAGCCTCCTCAACTTGGTGCCCTCCAAATGTGCCATGAGGACAACACCCAGAATTCCCAGCAAGTTCTCCTTCATCATTCCATCTTCCTTTCTGAGTATCCATAAGTCTACTGTACTAAAATTTATCTTTACAGTAATACTCTAATACAGATAACCTT